TCATATACATTTAATATATATCAAAGGTGACGAACAAAGGGAGAGTATTAATCAACAAATTAATTTCAATAATTTTGCTTATAAATTCACTTATAAAACGTTATTAACTTTTAATGATTATGTAAATTTATTGTTGCTCTTTAAATAATTCTTTATATAATCATTAATAGATTGTGAATTATAAAGTAAGCTCGTCTCTGATACTCGGGCAACTGCGGCAAATTTTTATGACATGTACATTGAATCTTGTAGTCACTGATGCAGACCTCAGGGGTCTGCTCTGGTCTGGACACGAATATGTCGACTAGGATTGCGAGACTAATGATGCGGCATGGTTGGAAACGTTTGGCCGAGAAGTTAAACTACTTCAAAAAATATATCACGATATAAATAGTTCGTTCGTATCTTGAACGAACTAACAGAGGAGACGAGATCCACTACCAATTATGAATAATAGTTTAATCTATATGCACGCCACTAAAGTATTAGCGTTTAAGTTTGTAATTGTCGTAATATTTGACGTTTCATACAGTCCATAGGCGCCCAACAAATTTCTATTTATAAAATTAATTAATATAATTATTACAAAAAAAAAATTTTTTGTTAGATTTAACAGATAGATGGAATATTTAACATAAAAATTTCCTCAACTAACTTGAAAAACTTTGAATATATAAGTTATTACAAATTTATTTGTTATACTATAAAATATTAATAAAAGCAAGTTTAAGTTAAAATTGTGCAAAGAAAATATATTAAAAATATCATTAACCAATTCAAGGAGAAATATGGAAATGTACAGTTTTAAAAGGTATTATCATTATATATAATAGTTATTAATGAATTCAATTAGTAATCAACTGCAGAACATTAAATAAAATCAAAATTGTAAAATTTGTTCAAATACATTGCAAAATGCTCATTAAATGATATCGAATGAATTGTTTTCAGTAAATAAACATTTCTGCTAAAGAATTTGCAGAAGAACTTGAAATTTCAGGTTGTTTTATTGCTGAAAATGAACCGTGAAGTTAGAACAAAAAATAACAGAGATACAAAATTTCAATGCGTCAATGCAACAGTAAAATAATATGTGTTTTGTTTGAACTATTTAAAAGTCATACAAAAATATTTAATTTGGTATGAAATATTAATGCAATTTATATTTGGACATAACCGAATGAAATGTTGAAATTTCAGGTTGTTTTATTGCTGAAAATAAATCGAGAAGAAGTTATAACATAAAATGAAAGTTTGATTACAAAAGCGAAAATGAGGGGTAACAAAATTTCAATGAGTCAATATTTTTTGGTACAAAATATTACTGCAATTCATATTTGGACATATAAATAAATATTGAAGTATTGCAAAAAAAAACTTATAAATTACAATATCATATAAAGATAAATCTTGATATTTATGTAATCAAATTGTATGAAGAAATTAAAACTCAAATTGTGTAAATTAATTTGATCTTATCAATAAAACGAGATTGGGACAAAATGTCAATCAATTAAGAAGAATTAAAAAATAAGTTATATAAATATAATTTGTATTTTTATTGTTTCTATAAGATTTTTTTCTAAATCATGTTTTTCAAATTGTATTGTATTGTACCTTTACTGAAACCTTATGGAAAAAACTTTTCGTCCGTAAATTTTGATAAAACTCAGAACATGTGGCCCATGATCTGTATAGAACAGATAAGTAATGGATGTAAAAATCCCAAAATTTAATAAAACTTTCTAACGATAGGCAACACTTCATACGTGAAACATAACTTCAAATTTCAATATTTCAATTAAAACAGAAACAAATTGAAAAATATTATTAATCAACGCACAAAGTTGAAACATAAACAATACAGCAGTAATATTCTGAGGAAAATGATTCACAATTTCGAAAGAGGCAGAATATAAATAAAAACGTAACACAATTTACTACACATATTTTTTTTCCCTGTTTTTTTTTAATAAAATTCAATAATGCGAATGGATAAATAAATTTTCTTTTCGTATGCAAAATAAGCGTGGGTTGCGCATTATTTTTATGCAAAAATGTGTACAACATATTGAACAGCCGACACAAAAGATATAAATTAATTAAGAGCAACGCGGTTAACACACACACAAAATACGAGGCACGCGTTCGCGTAAATTTGATTGATATGCGAAATATTGTAGGGCCGTATTTTAAATTTAGAAAAACTCAATTAAAACCGTTGCAATCGACACCGTAATAAAATAACATTTGTAAATAGCTGGAATTTCGGTAAAGCGATTTAAAATAATGTTTGTTTTTGTAGCTAAATACCTAGATTTATGTTACCTTAATCATGGAAAAGGCTTATTGCAAGTTTATGAAACTAAAAAAACTTGTTTTATACTATGTCGTGCTATATGTTTATTAATTTTCGGTATATTATGTTAGATTTAAATACTTGTTAGTAGCCATTTAACATTGTTACAAGTGTTAAAATAATCTTAAAGGTAGATATATTCTCTTGAACGATTTAAATCTTCAGATTGTTCAGCTGTTATGGAAATAATGAATAGCTAACGCCAATTCTTTAATTGCTTTACCTACTTTGTTATATTTTTGGGCTTTATATATCTTATTTCATGATATAAAGTATCGATCAATTATTTTTAATTACTGGAGTTTGTACAAATATTTAAGAATTAATTTACACAGCATTCCATAAACTCCAGGGGAATGAATTATCAAGTTTAGTCTATAATTTAACTATATTTTCGATACTATACTATAATATATCAAGAAGAAATGGATTCGAATAAAAACTGTCAAAAAAGCAAGCAAATGATATGCTATTATTTATTTTTTCCTTTGATTTTATATGTATACAAATATTATATTTCCAATGTTTAACCATTAACATATTATACATTTTTAATATTAAAGAAATGAACGTTTACTTTAAATTGTGTAACGAAAATATATTATTAAAGATATTCAATTTTCTATAAACAATATTTGTTTAGTATAATAATACAGGAAAAAGAACAGTTACAAATGAAATAATTGTGCAATTAATTAATCACTGCAGACAAAAACTATAATACTTTTGTTTCTTGACTCAGGATCATTAAAGCTATTAAATTACATAATCTATATTATTATAGAACTCAATGAGGATGAATGCACATCTCATAATTTAAATACATTTTTTTTCGCTTATAAATAATTAACGAGGAAAGTAACAACGTATCAAACAATTACTATTTAAAAACACTTCTTACTGTCCGACGGAACTCGAATTCATTTTCGTGGGCCAATAATCCATTAGAAGTTATAACTAAAGAATTTTTTAGCCTTTTCTCTAGAGGTATATCATCTCTTGATAGAACCAATGCAAAACATCTGGCCGAGAGCAAATCATTTGTTATCTTTTTGGTGACGCAGTTAATGTGCTGGAAGTCATTCATGTAACAAACTCTGTCCAACAGAATAACGTTCTCACAGAATGCTTGTATTAAGATTTGGAGAGAAACGAACGCTTCAATTAACAGCTCCGGATTATCACCTTTCTCATAATACAAAGAGATCACTCGTTTCTTAATAATATCTATAAGTTCATGGTCGGCCGTTTTCTGATTATGATTCAATTCGAAATATTCACCGATCCGCGCAGAGTACGATTCTATAGTGTAATGCTCTTCGTAATCTTTGAAGCCGGTTTTTCGGATTTGCCGTCTGCAAGTCATATCCTCTGCAAGCAAACATATTAATTGATGTAGTGCTTAAGATTATTGTAAGTACCTTCATCTAAAGCTTCTTGCAAGAGGTTTCTAAATAGGAGATTCTGAGCTTGCAACAGTTGCTGAGTGTTGTCGAGTCCACCCCATCGAGAACTGGTTAATTGCGTTGCTAACCTGAAGAAGGGTGTATCGAGTAGACCATCTTTATGGACTGCGATACACTGTTTGCTCAATGGGAAGCTGATGAACCCAAATTTGCACTTTTCGAGTAGATGATAGCAGCATGGCATGACAATACCACCTTTGCATTCCTCGATAGACCTAAACAGATCCATGAAATGGATGCTAAGGTCTGCGCATGCATGCAGCGCCACAAAGAAAACATCTTCGCCTTGATATTCAATGAAATTATCGCACATCAATCGCATGATTTCTTCCCCAGAATCAGCGGTGACCCTGTATTTCGTAAATACAACATTGCCTATAGAATTTGGGTAATGGTCTTTCTGTACTCTGAGTGCACTCTCCAATACGCTCTGACTACTCTCGATGCCTAAAACTTTATAGCCGTACGCTTGAAACAATACATGAGAAAGGTATCCCTATAAAATCAAAGCTTAAATATTATTCCGTCTCTGCAGTGTCAAACGGTTTTTACTTACGCAACCTGCGCCTATATCAATTATGTACTTTATTTTTCTTGGTTGACAAAGTTTATTGACCATCGGAGCCAAATAGGAAACCTCGTGCAGCTTCTTCTCGCCAAATTTTTTGGACCGAATCAAGTCGAGCTTACTCTCCTCGAGTTCATATGAAGGCGTCATCTTCTTAACCTTCTGCATAAAGTCTTTCAGGCTTGAAGGCGCTTCAGGCTGAAACGTTCGTGTCTTAAATTCCATTATATTTGTTTAATAAACCACTTACATCGATAACTCCTATCCCAATGTTCTTGATACCATCAAAACTAGTTTTTCGGAAGTACTCGGTCCATTCCGACGGAAAACAAGCCAACAGATTTCTAGTTGTAATTTCGATGTTTGGGAAGCTGTGGAGCCAGCAGTATTCCGATAGAAACGTCAGCGCATCCCGAAAATACTGGTTCGAATTTTTATAGGTCTCCGGTAAGGACATTTTACTAAAAATAATATAATATATACTTAACTATGATATAACGCATAACTTAAGACCACATGCATTAAGAATTTTGATCTGTTTAAATAAGTTTCATTTTTCATTAAACATAATTTATTCATAAAAATCTTAAAATAACTTCAAAAAACGTAAATTGGTAACATTATTTATTTTATATAATAACATTTAATATATTTGTATGAGTGACATCTACCAAACATATTATTCGTTTTCGACGACGGTCCACAATTCTTCAGCCCTATCGGTCGTATCCATGTTCTTTGGCCCTAAGACAACTTTACCAGTTTTGCTAATATCACAATTAATGAGATAATTTTCCGTCACTTGCTTAAGACCTTCAATGTTAACAGCCATAAGGGCAGCCCTATGCCTCTGTAGAATATCAGTATCTAATCCATACAAGAACTCGTTCAAGCCCTTGGCGCCTGGAGGCACTGGCGAGTCTACACCTTGGAATACTCCCAATTTGGCTTCAAGCACCTCCTGTTCCGTAATATTAGATAAATTATCGGTGAGCCATTTGGCAGTATTATCAAATGTATCTAAAGTTTGGGTATTTTGTGGATCTCTATAACTGTAGAAACTCAATACGCCATCCATGGAGAGCTTCAATCCGCCTCCGTAAGCACCTTGCTTCTCCCTAAGTTCTGGGTGTAAGAATTTCGAGGTACATAACTTCGACAACACTTGAAGCTTAGAGTAATCCTGATGAGTGTAAGGAACTGTTAGAATAGATTTGCTGCAGTAGTTAACCGGAACATTAAGCACGTGGTGGTGGCAATTCACGGAGTCAGTGGGGGCCCAAATTTTCGTAGTTGTATAAGCGGATTCTGCCTGATTCATAGAATTGCCAGGAAGCTTATTTACGAAATCTTCGAAAGACTGCAAATCATTTTCTGGCAGAATATTCAACGAACATCTATAACAACAAAATTCCATAAATATCTATGCAAGAAACAACTCCGTGAAACTGACCTTAAATTGTTTTTGTCAAATAAGATTTTGGCTACGTTAGTGAGCTCCGTAAGTATGGCTGTGAAATTTGATGTTTTGACTAGTCTTTTCATGTAGGAGATATGCTCGAGACCAGTGAGCAAATCCTTTTGATAAGCGACACCAGAAACCAAACCCTGGGCTGCCAACATCGCGTAAAGATGACCAGAATCGGCTACGCCGTGTGTCAAATTGGACATGTATAATTTGACTAGCATCTCAAAGCGAGCGACATCTTTCAATTCAGAAAGATTAAAGATTTGAGACCATAAATCCCACATATAATCGATATTGTGGTTTAGACAATAGCTGGAAATCAACAATCCAGGTTCGTATGAATGCAATTGGTATAAACTGTCACCAATGTGTGTTTGAACTCCAAGTCCGGCAGTTTTACGATTTACAAGACTATCAAAGTCTCTGTAATTCAAACTGTCGGTTCCTAATTTCGTGATCACGTAAGAGAGCAGTGGTAGCATCATTTGCTGTTCTGGACTTAATTGAGACGTACTCAAAATACCTCTGAAATAAGTGATACCATTTGTATCCACTTTGAAGACCTGCGTTGGTACTGGGCCTACCTTCTTCTTATCTTTCATAACCCTAGGAACTTCACTGCTGATATCATTCATACTCAGAGTAGGCAAAATACTGGTATTGTCAATTTTCGCCTGCTCTTCTGACAACTGCAAACATTTCTTGAAAATTTCCTCTTTATTTTGATCGCTCAACGGCTTCACTTTAGAAGATATTAATTCCTTCTCAGCATTAACTTGCTTCTGTTCGTATTCTTTATCCGGGGACATTGTCAAAACCAACCTGTGGTTATTATCTTTAAAATATTTCTTGACAACATTCTGTAAGTACGATGGATTCGCTTTCATTTGGTTTTTCAATTTATCGATTAAATCGTTGCAACGAAGTTGCATAATCAGATCTCCATTGTGGTTCCACGTAGGAGTCAAACCGAACAACAAATTCAAACCGAAGTTAGCACTTTCATGCTTCAAACCCAACTCGTAACGATGCAATACCGATTCAATATGCTGCTCTTGGAAACCGGAAGCAATAACGGAATCAATAGTCTCATCGAATAACTTTTCAATTTTCTCGAAATTTTCAACCTTAAGTCCTTGTAGTCCCAACGCAAAGATAGTGTCACGTTGCTGCGAGTCGAAGCCGGTGCTAGGAGTAAAACCGCCAGAAATGTTTGGTTCAATGAGCGATTTGTAGAATGGCGCATTTGGACCTTTAATTAGAAGTTCAGTAACAAACTGCGAACAAAGAAGATCAGGTTTAGAATACCGAATCGGTGAAATCTACACATCGACTTACTTGTAATAAGAACGTTTCGTATATATCGGTAATATCGTTCATGAGGTATGCAATTGTGAGCGAATTCTGCTGCTCGAAGGGTTCTCTCATATTCTCGAAACGACATAGCACATGCTCCTTTTTTGGTTTATCCCATCTTGCCTGACTTGGTACTACGGTATGCTTGGGGTTCTGGTACTCAAATTTGCGCAGGTATTCAGAATTCACGTATTCCAAAGTAGGAATAAGGGGGAAATTTCCATACGAGTAAATTCTACAATTACTAGGATGATAATGGTCTTTATGGAATTGCTTAAGAGCTTCCCAAGTCAGATCAGGGATCTTCAGAGGATCTCCACCGGAGCATACGCCGTAAGTATGATCTGGTAATATGACATTTTGCAATTTCTGTTGAAGAATGGACTCGTTCTCGGAGAAGGCTCCTTTCATTTCGTTATAAACGACGCCTTTAATAATCAAATCAGTGTTCTTGTCTTTCGGGTCAACGTTCTCTAATCTCCAGCCTTCCTGCATGAAATCTGTTTGGTTCAGGTTCGGCCTAAATGCAGCATCCAAATAAATCTTTTGTAAATTTCTATAATCCGAATAATTCTGCGTGCTGAATGGGTACATGGTAAAATCAGATCCTGTCATAGCATTCATAAACGTTGCCAAAGATCTATTAAGCATTTTGAAGAAAGGATCTCGAACCGGGTATAGCTGAGATCCACATAGTACTGTATGTTCCAGGATATGAGGAAGACCAGTACTATCCATAGGCGTCGTACGGAAGTTCACCGAAAACACGTTATTGTTATCATTCCTATATAAATGCAGGTACTCTGCTTTGGTGGCATCGTGGAGTAAGCAGATTGCCGTTACGTTAAATTCGGAGATCTTCTGTATATCTTTAACACTGAAACCGTGTATCTTTTCCCCAACTTTGAACGTCGCAATGTCCGATGTCTCCTCCGGGATCGCCTGTTTCGTAACAGCTTGTGAACTGTACGCATATCTCGATACCGTTTTCAGACTACGCACGTTCGGCTTTAGCTGCAATATCCTTTGCAGCATCATTTTATATTTAATAAATCTAAAAACAAGATTTATTTATGTAAGAAACGGGCAAACATAAAGAATACTAATAGTTTTCAAAAATTATAAAAAATATGAATCATATGATCCAAAATCTTATACGCGATTAATCTGTTCAAAGCAATGGAACTCATTTAATGGAACAAGAAAGTTTAAAAAAAATGTATGTTTGAAAATTTAATCAACAATATACATTTACCAGTAATCAATGAATAAAATATTTTATAATTTAATCAAAAGTTTAGTGTAATAAGTAATATTTGTAATAATAATTTTATTATGGAATATAAATAACCAATTTTATTACATATATTATACTGGATTGGATATAACTAATAAAGATAAAAAAATCTGTGTAACGAATTGAAGTTTAGTTAGATTTAAGCAAGTTTCCTTTATTTTATAATAAGTACATGTATATGAAAAACTCAAATTATTGATCACATGATTTACATGTGACTACATAAGTTATTTGTGCCAAAAAGTTAAAGTGCATGTACTCAAATTTATAAATATCTATAGTATAGGCAGTATATTGTGCTATTGCACAATATATGGCAACTAAAAATGTCTCCATAAAAGAGGCATCGTAATAAGATATACCATATCAGAAACTACAATTGATTAATGATCACACAGATGAAACATCAATACCTTGTTTATATCAGCATTTATGTCTGATATAAGAATATATTGCAACATTTTAATGGATTTCACTATGCGTTCATTTCATCACTGAATTATTTGATTAGTAATAAAGTTATATTCATCAGAAATATAGTAATAAATGTACTTACAATTGGAAGAGAAATATAAGTGTATTAAAAAAATATGTATTTTAAATTTATCTTCTAAATGTCAGATTTGCCTGAAAGTTTATCAATTTCTTGAATTATATCTCAGAATGATGTGGTTGAAATGTATATACGCACAAAACATTGAACTCAATTGAACCTTTGTTAAAACGTTATGTTATATATGAAACAATCGATAATCGCTTATAAAATGTTGAAAATGTGCGAAGAATAACCTGAACATAACCTAAAAACAGCAGAATACTTACAGGGGTTATAGGAAATATCAGATTACAGGGTAGTGGCTGATACGATTTTGTCAAGGTTTCTCAATCTATCAGAACTGAAAATTGCAAATTCTTCTATATTTTTTTTATCCGGCAAAGCTACTTATTTTATACTTATGGCACCACCGTGTTATTACGCATTGTCAAACTGTCGACGGGATCAATGTATGTAGGGATCTCAATGTAATAAACCAAATATGTTATATCGTGTTCACTTCTATTCTGGCCGCACATAAAAAGAGAAAAATACGTGAAAATAACATATTTTTGTTGCAGAAATTGAAGAAAACGCTGTGACCGGTTTTTTTTTTTGGAAAAATTTAAAGTTGATCGTACCTTCTTGTCAATTGGAAGCGGCAGATCGACGCATTCAAAACACTCCAAGAGAACAGCAGTATTGTCAGGTGTCACGTTCAAATTGCACCTTTTGCACTCACTCGAAGGCTTCGACTCACAGCAAATGGAATATAGAAGATCTCCGCTGCTCTTGTCGCACTCCACGTTGTTTTGCTATTCGTGTAAAATTACAAAAAATGTAGCAAAAAAACTTGTAAAGTCGATCATCAACTTGCAGACATCGAATAAAACAATTGATACCAACCTAAATATATTTAAACAAAACCTACATTTTTTTTTAATTCACTTAGTTGCTTATTTTTGTTCTTTGTATACTAATTTATAGTTCTAAATTGTAACCATTAGCTAAATACATATTTTCATTGAAGAGGATGTAAGAATTATATAATTATAACTAATTATAAAAGTTCTACAATAAATTAAGTAAGCTATGAAAAAAAAAATTAATTTGTGTTTTCTTAACATTTCTTATTTTATTCATTAGATTTATATATTTAGTCGGAAATCCCAACTCACCACATTCATATCAGATTATTTTAAATTTACTTGTAGGTTACTAAGAGCTATAGGCAACCTAAACAACTTAAAAGTATAAATGGTTACCAACTACATTAAGCTAATTCACGTAATATTTGGCCTATGTACACGAAGGGAAGATTTTAAATCACAGACTGAAATAAAAAGTTATATATTTGTAGAACATATAAGTATCAATGGGTAGTGGAAATAAAGCTACAAATATTTTTAAAATCTTATAATTTATAGATACTTTGAAAATATAAGTTACTAATGCGAATAAATCTTTCGCCTCTTATTAAAAACTTATGTATAGTAAATTGGAATATAATTAGTACTAATAATTGCATAAACAAATAAATAATTTCGTAAATGCATGCGTGTATATTTTCATACTGATTTGTTACTAATATAACGATTTTTGTCAATTATTAAATTTAAATCTTCATCTTTTTTTAATGACTATTTTCACTTACTGTAATTTTCCCATTTAATACTGTTTTTAACCTACCATACTCTATAAGATTTGAATGACTATTGATACATCACATTTTTTGTCTTATTTTGTCAAAATTTCAGTTCAATTATTTAGAAACGTTGATGAACGTTGTATACACTGGATATTTTAACGGGACAAAGGTAAACTTACAATTAGATCACCAGTATGAGGAAGAATTGGTTCGCATTTACTGGGGAATCCTTGGAAATCCTTCAAATCTTCCTTGAACTCGTTCACTATTGGCTTCTTAAGTACATCGTTATTAAGGTTTTCGTCGCCCAAAGGATATTTAGCGTTTCCAGGCGGACAATATTCGTTAGCTATTATGAAAAAAAACCGCAAATTTTAAGACTTGGAGAAGTTGCATTTATATTCCATTTACCTTGCGTTAAATAACAGACCAATAAACACACTAAAAATTTTGCGAATGTATGTTTCATTATTAACTGAAAATTTTGAAATACTTCTCGAAACTATGATGTCAGACAATAATTTTTTTTTCTGTTACTATTACTGGGGTAACTTGATTGCATATAATTTTTTGGAGATACCAATAAATTGCTTATATTTAAGACAATAATATACATACATAAATTCACTAAAATCAATACAGATTGTTAAATTACAAAGTAAATAATATAAAGATTTTTTCTTTCTAAATAATACTTAAAGTATATATATAATATCATATAAAAATATTATTTAAAAAAATATAATGTTTTTACATCTTTTGGGAAAAGGCCAATATGACAAGATTCTAACTTTCTCTCTTTCTTCTTTTGTTTGGGATTATTTGTTTCTTTTTTTTTCAATTTAAATATTATACAAAAGACCTAAGTTGCTCCCTTTTAGTTTTTTAAAGGATCCAAGCTTTCCAGTGAGAAATCTTCATTGCCGAAACTGATACCGCGACTGAATCCATTCTGCAAATAAGAAATAAATTGTTTTAAGAAACTGCATATTTTAATTTGAATGTTAGTTTACCGTCATCTCCAGAATCCTTTTATCGATTAAACCGATGGCGTTTTCGATTTCCTGCTGAGATGCGACCGTATTGAAGTCGCCCATCTCGAATGGATCCAGGATTTTGGCACTGGTTGTGCTGTTTGGTGATGGCGTCATCGTGCTGCTGAAGGGTGTTGCTCCAAACAAATCCTGCCCGAAACTCTTCACCGGACTTTCGTTATTGTTGATGTTACGTCTGGCCGCTTTCGGAGGTGGTGCCACTACAAAGTTAATACTTATAAGAATTGTTTTACAGTAAGTATTTTAAAAGACTTACGTAACGGTGGACTTGATGACGTTCCGTTGGTGAAGATTTGAGGAGACGTTGGTGTATGAGTTTCGTAAGATCTTGGATCGAAATCATCGTCCTGCTCCAAATCGTTCAATAAAAGATTCTCCAACTTAGTTCCAACTGCCGGAGCGTTATCAAAGTTCCTAGGAGGCACAGGAGGAGCACTTCCATTCGTGGTTTCGCTAAAGTCCAGCATTTTCGTGATTCCATTGGTTTGCTCTGCAGGTAGCGTTTCGCTATTGGCACCGCTGATTTCCAAGATGTTCTTAATCTCGTGCTTTATCAAGTACTGATCCAAATCTATTTTAATACTGCTGAATTTCGAGAGGTCTAACAAGCGCTGCCTGTAGACGTTGCTCTCATTTTCGAGCCTCTTGATCTTCTGCTGCGTTATCATCGCCCTCCTTTGAGACTCCAAATCTTTACCGGACGTCTCCAAAAACCTCTTGTAGGCCAACTCGAATGCTTGACCAATAGTTAACGTGATTTCTTCTGCTAACTTATCGGATATGAATACGAAGCACTCGTGTCCGTCTTCTTGATCACTTCCATCGTCATTTTTGGCTGAAATAAATCAAAAAATATGTTGAAGTTACTGGTGACGATTATTAACTATTTTACCTTGCGATGGTTGCTTGGCAATGAACGAGAAAAACTTCTTCTCTCCTTTATCGTCGGCACAGTACGAAATGCGGTGCAATGGAAACTGGTGGAGGATCGTGTGCGTTTTTGGTTCTTGTATGGCCACACCATCCGCACTGATGGTTAACTCCACTTTTCTGATCTTAGCACCGGTTTCGCTCTTCTTTATTTGCTGTGAGAACTGCAATCGTCTAATTCCTTTCTTTACGACTTCGATACCTAAAAACAATATAAGATAAAATATTTATATTCCTGAACAAAATCTTACAAAATAATTTAAGAACATTATACTGCATATTAGATAATATAAACATAACATAAAGCTAAGAATTATTTTATTTAAATTAATATCAAAGATATAATTTAAACAGTAAAAATAGTAAGTTTAAATCAGTTAAATATTATGACTTGTAATAATTTGTAAATTTTCTATATCATTGTTATGCGTATATGAATTTTATAAATAGAAACAAATCTATGTTAATTTTGTCTATAAATTTCAACAAAATAATTCAAGTAATGCACATTTTTCTTTCAAGTATGTTTCCTTAAAATATCATTAGAAAATGAGATTATATGTCACAGCAATTAAATAAATATATCACATCATGTAATGTACTAATTAAGGTAGTATTGTAGAAATGATAAACAAAATTTATTTTTAATAAAAAAAATATTATTGATTGATAGCTATTTGTATTTAGTTAGAATAAAGCACAGTTGAAATAAATTATAAATGAAAGTAACTCCGATGGTAACATTCTGGCACATATGAGCGGACGGAAGTCGGAATGAAAACAGAGTCATAGATGCAAATTCGCAAAGGAAAGTCAATCACATACGGAGTGTTTGGTCTATTTAAGGTACATGAAATTGCAAGTAGAAATGTTTAACCTACTACGATATAAATATAGACGCGGCGAAATTAAATTATGCATCGCACGGCGCAACCTACTGGAAGCAAACGATTTATTGTAATGCCTACTGCACACTTGGAGGATTCGATGACTTGAAACTAATTTACTTGAAGTAGGCATACATAAATATTTTAAAAACGAATTTTTCAATTTACTAAGAAATAAACGTAAATTGAGTTAAATAAACAGAAGACAAAATGTAAATCAAGGACGCAATTAAGATTTTCGTCGTCGGAAAGATACTATGCTCGACAGAGCAAGAAAATTACATACCAATTTCCACTCAATTCTCAGCGATTAAATAGAATGTTCTTGCAAATTATTTTAAATTTAAATTCTGTTCAAATAGCATTTCGTATATTTCCTTAGGTTTTAACTAATTACAGTATACGTCTTTTTTTCGAAAAACTTAATTGCAAGTTATTCTTCGCTTTTAACGAAATGCAATTGTTGTGTACGCAGCAATCTAAGGACGTTTGATTTACACGGCTTTTGCATTTACAATAGAAAATGTGTGGATTGCGTGGAGAGCGCAAACTAATTAGAAAGTTCTCGCAAAATACCTTTAGGTTGATCTACGACGGTGTTGCCGAGGAACTTGACGAGATAGGCTATGTGCCCTTTCTGGAGTGCTTCTGGTGGGTGGATCCATTTTCGTTCCCCGTTCGTGGTGCTGCTGCTATTATTCTTGCTGTTGAGTTTACCTTGCGTCGTGTTCTGGGCCCATTTCAGTAAAGTCGACATCCTGCTGCAAAAGCGAGATAAATGCTCTTTTAGAAATCGTTTAAGGCTATCCTTAAGTACATCCATTCACGAGTACACGAGTCTCGAGAGGTTCGTCATGCAGATTCTAAACGATTCATGTGTATGTTGATTACAACGAGCAACAGGATTCGTATATTTTTTATAAATAAAATCTGTTGTTCGTGCTTCTTGCAAACGAAACCGTCGGTTCCGAGGAAACTCATGTTTATTAATTTGTAGTAAATTAACACCAGCCATCGGATTTTTAGTAGTGAAAAAACAAGTAAATAACAGAAACTTGAAGCAATTCGTTTTAAATATTTTAACAATTACATAAATTTAAATACATTATCTTTACAGAATCATGTAAACAGTTCCATGCAAAAGCTGAAAACATTATCATAATATTACATTCAATATTTCAAAAAACATTTGTCATCATTTAAATGAAGAGAAATGCATTTCAATTTTTTTTAAACGATGCAAAAGCTGAATTAAATTATAACGGAATAGAATATATGAATAGCAATAAACGTCTGTTATATATTATACTTCTATTGCTGCAACCACACACGAATGGTTGTTAAATATTAATGAATATCAACTACTCATAATTGTACCATTTTACCAGCTACTAATTCCGTCAAGTGTACCCACTTAATATATTTAGTAACTTTTGTAGGGAATTTATTTCTTGAATTGCTTGGTTATAAAATATTTCCGGTTTTATAACTAAATTACAATTTATTCATAAACATTTTCCAAATTTTGTAAATAGTCAAAATTACAAGATTTCTCTTTTGGATTCAAAATAAATTTCTAATACTCAAAGTTACATTTATCATAAACAAATCACTTTTATAATAATTAGTAATATATATAATTTTTTAAATTACAATTTACAAAATGTACTAATTTCGACAAGTCACAAGCAGAAACCTTGAAAAATATGTTTTTTTTAGATATACAAAATGTTCATATTAATATAATTATGAAAAACATTATTAGATCAAATCATTTATTAAATTACTAATTAAATGATATTGATATACCTATTGCAGTAAAACATTTTGGTTTTAATTTTCTTATTATGTTATTTTGTTGACTATGGTAATTTGTTGCAATAAATGTTATTATATTATTACAAAAAATAAGCTGTGATAACAGCAACACAAAATAATATGTTTAAACGAAGAATTTACAAATAATAAACATTTTATGACACGTGAATAATAATGATAATGAATTTGATCAAAATACACATTACTAACTTGGCTCTATAAAAAATTGTAAATTAATAATATTAAGGTAGAAAGACCTATTGGTGTGTAGCTCTTTGTAACAGTTTATTTTTTGATAATATTTTGTTATAAATACATATTTAGTTTTGTTTATTTTTTTGTGATAATTACAATAAAAAATATTACTGTTATTAACTGTTAATTATTATTTATTTTTCTAAAACAAAACAAAAACATGAAGTGAATGTTATAATTAATAAAAACTTAAGTGAAATTTGTTTTTAACTTACGTAAATAAAATGATAAATAACGTCAGAACTGTCGTATAATAAAATTTATGCAAAGAAATAAAATAGCATTAAAACAGTATTAATATTTTTCTTTCTTTTTGTTTATTAAATCTTGCAGTTTATGTTTAGAGGATTTTGATAATTACACGGTGTTGGAAAGGAAACATCACACGACATTCAAATATAGAATCCCGTTACTCGGATACGCTTGACAGTTACGTTCGTTTTAAAGCCCATTTTATAATGGAAAATGATTAAGACTTTCATATAAATATCATACGTAATATAACACAACAAAAAATATATACACAGACACGGACATCCTGCGTTCATTACAATGTATGATGTTTAAATCTTTGCACCTTACTTCTCTTTCCCATTGTGTAATTCACTAGAAGAACATGCATTTATTTATTCTTCTTCAAATCACCTGCACTTACAAAGTTATTGTATATTTCCGACGGTAGAAGGACTTCTAAACAATAATAAACAATAAGTGTTGCGCAAAACTAAGAGTAATTAATGTATTATTTGTTTGCACGTTTTGTATATTTGTTTATTTTTATTTATGTGTGTTTATATTTGTTACTTTCCGGATAAGTTCGTGCCGATTTTTCACGAAAATTAAAAATCAAAACTATTATATATAGATATATAAATTTGCATTATATTCTTAGCTAATTTATACATTCATTGGATAAAAAAAGTATTTAATAGTTCTGATAAATTCATTTTAAAAAAATACAAACATATAATTTAATAATACATGATGAGGGTTTAATCTTAATTATATGCAAATGTAATAGGTTTCTAAAGTTACTCATTTTATTTTTACTAACAAAACAATCAAGAATGAAAATTGTAATTTACCTTAAAAATAAACTAAATAAATCAATTTAATAGTGTAATAATGTGTTTAATTTAGTATAAATAAATATTGGCTTATTCTTGATTATTTTTATTGATATTTATTGATTCTTAAACTGACATTATTGCGATATCTAAATTATAAATATTTAGTGCATTTCTTAAATATTTTTTTATAAATTACAATTATTTGAAGATATCGATTGCTGAGAGTATAATATAAAAATAATTCATGGTTTTTATATATAGCATCTGTCAAGTAGCCGATAACATTGGCATTTCCATTACGCAACAGCTGCTAAGTGATGGTCTTAAGATCCTGGTCCTGGTATGCGTTTTGTCCTACAGTTGTGTAGGAAAATGCGAAAGCTTACGATTCAATTGGAATCGGTTAATCCTTGGGCCGTGGCGCAGTTATCACCATAGTTCGTCTTTCCGCCATTCCTCTTCAGTCATCGCAGCGTTTTCTTTGACGCACACAATAATAAATTCATGAAATATGCATCATGTAGGTCGTACGTTATATAAATTTATATATCGTACGTGAGTCAATATCGAACAATGCACCGCATTGTTTCGTAGCTGTTATTATGGGATGTGGCGAAACGAGAAGGCTAAAATTTTACAATCGTATTTATACACACACTCACATTCACGCACAGAGTTTCTTCTGCAAAGGCACTACACAGATAGATGGATGGATAGATCCGTGGAAAAAATAAAGAAGTTCAGATTGTTCCCAGGTTACTGAACCTTTTTCTTTCCACTTGCTGCTCGAAATTCTTTCGCTATCTACCTGATTCGAATAGCAGAACCTCATCGCCGATTTCAACGAAACTTTATCAGTTTAATTGATTCTTTCTTGTCTTACATTTAACTGAATTGCTTACATCAAATCAATGTTCTGTTGCATCATCAATTTAACAATTCAAAATTTAATGATTTGTTATCTAAAGTAATACAGGAATTAAGTTCCATATTGAAATCAAAATGTGTTAAAATTAACCGACTTTAATTATATTAATCATCAATTTATTAGTGAAGCCCTAATTCCATTCAGAACTACCAAATAATTTTAATAAAAGTTAACGTGAATGTCAAGGGTAGAACATATTCTTAATAAGAAAATCAAGAGTTTCATGATAACACTGATTTGATTAATCAAATTATTTAAGTAATTATATTTTTCTCGATACTTAAATATACTTTTGCTCATTATGATATGATCCAATACAATCATCTAAGACGTGCCACTATAACAAATAATAATTACTCATTTGATCATTTTTTAGAAAAAAATTACTGCTAAACAATTGCTATTTTTTAACTATTTTGATTATAATTTATTAATTAATCAAAACCTTTTCCCTAATTATTATTTCGTTTCCTCAATATTTGAATTTGCCGCCATTTATGCATTATGATTCAATAAAAAAATCACAATCTGAAGACTAAAAACTGTGTTTTCTATTTAATTCAAATCTTGCGTTCATTTTGGGACACCCTTCATTAATTAAGTAATTTATAAAAATATCAACTATTTATATTTTAGTAATCATCACATAAAATTTTACTAAATTAAATAGATAGCACGTTTAAAAAGTAATAAAATTTGATATTGACTTGTCACATAGAAATCTGTACTAAAGTAGGTTGAATTCAATCATGAAACGGTACACGCTCAATTTACAGACGGACCTATTTCTAACACGAACACTCTGACCTCAATGTATCACGTTCAAATTAGTTCATATTTGTTACATACTTTTTTTTTTGCAAGTGCGCAAAAGTTTTGAAAATGTATCGAGCGTTAATTAAGCCGCAAATATTTCACAATCAATGGATACGGCATATAACTGAGGAATTTTATGCATCAGAGAATTTGAGCAAACAAAATAATAGTAAAAGAAAAAAAAATATAAGAACGCAGGAAGTTGGAATAGGAAAAGCATTATGTAATTTATGCATCGAGTGAAAATTTCAACGTTGTGTCTCATTATGTTGTTTTGATGCCCCAAACCTAAAGTGTTTTCGATTATCTATTTCTGATTGTTATTATTTATTTTCTTTATCATAAAAAGTTATCTGACAGTTATTTGACATTTGAAGATGACAGTTAAAGAATAAAAGGTTTCACCATTTTTGCTCGTTACAAGTGACAATTGTCATAACAAACTGTCAAAAAGTTAATCATATTTTCACATTTGAAGATGACAGTTAAACAAGTTTAAAATAATATTAAACTAAAATAATACACATTTTAATAATACACTTTTTATCTCTACAATAATAAATATTTATTTAATTTTAAGTAAAACTTATGTCTTTAACAAAAAATACTTATTCTTACGAAATTATTCATTATGAACCGTAAATTTTCGACAATTGATTAATTATTTATATCGTCAATTCGTATATACATATTCGGTTGAAGTGCAAGGACAACTGGTTTTGTGCTTCAAGAATAATTTGCTCAATTTCCTAGAACAAAATCAAAATAGAATATGCTTGTTTTTACCTTGATTAAAATATGAATGGAAAGAGGAAATTCCAAGTGATTTCTGATTGATTACATAACTTAAAGTTAATCTAACATAATTAATAGC